TGATATCTTTGGTCTTCAACACTTTTAAAAGGTCTTGTGCAGCAGAGTTGCCTAATGCAATACGTTGTTTACTTTCCTGAGTGTGGATGGTTGATCTGAGAAAAATGAAGTCTTTGGCAATTTCAATATTTTTCTCCATTTATATGATGCTGTTTATTGGGCTAGTGATGAGGATTTTTGTTTTCTTTACATTGAGGTGCAACCCACACCAAACGAAGTAAGTTCGATTACATCAGTATTTTAACTTCTCTTTATTTTCAGCAAGGAAGGTTGTATACTCTGCATATCATAGGTTGTTAATGAGTCATCCTCCAATCCTGATACCACATTATTCTTCATATAAACCAGCTTCTCAGATTATCTGCTCAGCATACAGACTGAATAAATACAGTGAAAGAACACAACGCTGGTATATACCTTTCCTAATTTTAAACCATTCAATGTTCCCTTGCTCTGTTCAAGCAACTGCCTTTTGGTCTATGTACAGGTTCCTCATAAGCACAATTAAGTGTCATGGAATATCATTCTTGGCAATTTTGTCCATAGCTTGTCATGATCCACACAATCAAAAGCCTTTGCGTAGTCAATAAAGCACAGGTAAACATCTTCCTGGTATTCTCTGCTATCAGCCAAGATCCACATGACATCAACAATGATATCCCTGGTTCCACAAGCTCTTCTGAATCCAACTTAAAACTCCAGCCACTTTTGCATTATCTTTAATAAAACTTAACTCCCATGAGATATCAAATATACTGTCCAATGAATTCTGCATTCCATTGGGCTACCTCTCTTTGGAGTGGGTACAAATATGGATCTCTTCCAGTCAACTTGTCAGGTAGTTGTCTTCCAAATTACTGGGTATAGATGAGTGAGTGCCTCTAGTGCTTCATCAGTTTGTTGAAAGATTTCAATTTGTATTCCATCTATTCCCGGTGCCTTGTTCTTTGCCAATGCCTTCAATCTACCTTGGGTTTCTTCCTACAGCATTACTGGCTCTTGATCATATGATCTACCTCTTGAAATGGCTGAACATTGACCATTTCTTTTTGGTACAGTGACTCTGTGTATTTCTTCCATCTTCTCTTGATGCTTTTTGCATCATTCAATATTTTGCCCATAGAATCATTCAATATTGCAAGTTAAGGCTTAATTTCTTTACTTCAGTTCCCTTAGCTTGAGAAATGCTGAGGATGTTCTTCCCTTTTGGTTTTCTA